ACTCATTACATGCAAAGCAAGATAGTTCAAGCCGTGATTTGTCATCATTGTGATGATTATGGCTTACAGCTCATGAAAACCCCAAATCCACAACCTCAAAAAAGTAGATTATTACATGCAATCAATAAAACAAGGATTGTACATAGAACAATATCGGACCTCTTTGTGTAAAAATAAAGTGGATCAGTCTATACACATTAAAAAATCCTTCACTTTTTTTACACCTTCATGTGCATTAATAACATTAAGTGACAAATCATATGCGTGAAAAAATTCAGGTGGGTAAACAAAAATACAAACGAAAATAATTGTGAATGACAATTAATTGTGCTAACAAAAAATATAAACAGATAAAGTCTCTGTAATATACAGCTCCGCTTCAAAGCCAAATAGCAGAGCCTTCCAATGTTCGGTAGAGTAGTGCTTTCCTGGGGTTTGTATTAAGATCAATACATCCCCCTAATAGAGTGCGTACTCACCCCAAACTTTCGGCTGTAACAGACAGCCCCAAACGCTTTGTCTGATGGGACACAGTTACTGCGGCGTCTTTCGTATCTCGTTCTTTACCATCAGTCCTCAGTGTAAAGTATTCCCACAGTCATGCAAAGAAAAAATCTTTCATCGGGGAATAGTTCCACTAATAGTTTATTCAAAATTTCTTTTAAAATTCAAAGAATCACATTCGGCCAGTCCGAAAACAAACGTATTTGGTATGGTAGACCTGCCCCTCATTTGGTTTAAACATCTTCAGACCCAGCGGTCTTTAATACAGCAGCTTGTATTTTACATCACAATATTTATTTATTTATATTGCTGTGTTGACACGATACACTAAAAATTCATCACATTGACTTTGCAGTAAGTAATCTGTTAACCACTTGCCGTCCGCCCGTAGTAAAAAAACGGACGGACGGCACTGCAGCATCTGCGGGTAGCCGTCTCCAGACGGCAATTATTTTCTGCTCGCGCGCGCCCCCTAGTGGGCACGCACGGGCAGAAAAGACCCGACGATTAAACACACCCGTTACCGGGTGTTTGACATATAGGCGATCAGCGGGTCCATAGCCCGCCAATCGCCTATACCAAAAGAAAGCTCTATCTGTCCCCAAAAAAGGGTATAAAATTCATTTCAGTACAGCGCTGCATGACGGAATAAATGTCATTCAAAGTACCGCAGCGCTGAATACTGAAAAATGGCCTGGATGGGAAGGGGGTTTAACACCGCGGATGTCAACTGGTTAAGGAAACACTATTTTGGTTTAAATCACTGCCACCTGTATGATATATGGCTAATTGAACTCCTAGCGCTGCTTATCTTGTTATATCATTTTGTTATATCTGTTTTATAAGTGCAAAAGTAAAAACTGTTGATCTGAAATTCAGAGCTGTCCTGAATCCTCCGCACACGTCCTGCTATCATAAAGATCCCTCCTAGTTCCTATCATGGACTACAGGATGATTAGCCTTTATGGTGTATACCAGGAGAGTGGGTGGGTCTGAATAGTTTGGCACAAGCCAGTGGGCAGGGCTGACACCACTCAGCTCAGGTCAGTGTGTTGTCAGCCCACAAAAGAGCTCAGGAGCTGAGTTTATTTCTGGCAGATCAACAGGTCTTTATCGTTCCATTGAGCAACATAGAAATTCTTCCAATTCATAGACTTTTGGGTTGTACTACTACTATTGGAAAAATGGACAATGGCAACAAAAAGCGGCCGGCCAGCACAGGATAACTCCGCCCACAACCCTCATGTTTCGGTTTTGTATCAATGTAGTACAGAGAGCGTGAAATAAATTCAGAGGGGTGGGACCTGTGCCTCTCAAGATAAGGTAGGTACAAAAAATAAATTCCCCCTGTAGGCAACAGTATAACCCAACAGTCAAAGAATTCTAATCATTCCTGTGTCCCTAAATGGTCTCTCCAAGAACTGCAAAAATTCTGTGTTTTCTGTACTTGCAGGGTATTTAAAGGGATAAAACACAGGAAATGTGCTTCTATTGCAGAGATGTATTGTGTATGGTTTTTTTATTTGTATTTTGCCTTAACATACACTTTAATAACCTGCAAAATCTTTCTGCTCACAGGAGATAATTAAAGAATATGAAAGGAATATCTCTGAACTGGTGTCAACATTTCTGGAAACTGTGCAAGGACTATATCCTTTCCCCTGACACGTCTGGCAAACAAAGCCAGCAGCTAATATGCAGTGATCTGATAATATGTCTCTGTATTGCCTGCCTGGGGTGTCATCATCTAGGTTCATAATCTGAGATACAACATACGTCACAAGCGTACATGTCCATTATTGTGACAAATTCAAGTGCTGATTGCAGTAATGGGGCCATTTAGGAGATTGCTATGAAGAGATAGCCAGTGCTTTGCAGCTTTAGAAGTCTCCCATATCTTTCAGTGAGATTTTTATATCTCTATTGGTGAGATCACTGAGCTGAGTTCCTGGGTCTGTACACCTGTAATGCCCATTATGAGGGACTCCCACCATCCAAGTGCTGAGTTCCTGGGTCTGTACACTTGCTGTGCCCATTATGAGGGGTTCCCACCATCCCTGTGCTGAGTTCCTTGGTCTGTACAGCTGTAATGCCCATTATGAGGGACTCCCACCATCCAAGTGCTGAGTTCCTGGGTCTGTACACTTGCTGTGCCCATTATGAGGGGTTCCCACCATCCCTGTGCTGAGTTCCCGGGTCTGTACACCTGTAATGCCCATTATGAGGGACTCCCACCATCCAAGTGCTGAGTTCCTGGGTCTGTACACCTGTAATGCCCATTATGAGGGACTCTCACCATCCCTGTGCTGAGTTCCTGGGTCTGTACACCTGTAATGCCCATTATGAGGGACTCCCACCATCCCTGTGCTGAGTTCCTGGGTCTGTACACCTGTAATGCCCATTATGAGGGACTCCCACCATCCCTGTGCTGAGTTCCCGGGTCTGTACACCTGCTGTGCCCATTATGAAGAATTCCAACATTCCTGTGCTGAGTTCCTGGGTCGGCACCTATGCTGTAATGCCCATTATGAAGGGTTACCACCATCCCTGCTGTATTTATTTTTATATTATGGAGAATCTAACAGGAGGAGCTGGGACACACAAAGGTGGCTGGGAATACCCAAAACTCCCAGGTAGACGGGAACAAAGCTGGGAATTATGACAAGGATCTCACTGTTGGAATATCTAAGACATAAGAAGCTGGGGGCAGCCTTGGCCCACCCTGCTCCATGTATGCATTTTGGGGGCTTGACCCCTTAAACTATGGAACAATCAGATTGAAGTATGTGGGTGCCTTCAGACTCAGAAATGCTTTAACAGTTCAATGACTTGTTGTCTGGAGTTCTTCTTTAACCCCCCAGTTTACAATGGCTCAGATCAGAGACTTGGAGAACCACCACCATGAAAAGCTCCTGGAATTCTCTATTAATATGCTGGAGAGAGTACTGAAGGGGGAGATGGATGAAGAGATGAGCGATGAGGTTCGAGCGGTAAGCAGATTTCATTGTTATAGCACACCCCCTCAAATTGTTTGCTGACCAATGTGCTCAGGGACCATTAACACGGCATATTCTTCACCCGCTGCTGGCAGCTGTTTGTGGACAAAGACACCATCATCAATGCAGTCAGCGCGTCTCATGACATACACCTACTGAAGATCGATAACCGAGAAGATGAACTGGTCTCTGTGAGAATCTTGCAATGCCTCATGGGATATGTAGTTCCACCACAGCTGGTGGGCCGGAGTTTGGCTACCCCTGCTATAAGACCTAAAGTTTGAAAGTTTGTTGGCCCCTTCAGACCATCACATGTACAATATGGAGTCTGTCAGGAGTATGCGGACACCCCCCCCAAATGATTGAGTTCAGATGTCTCCAGTGAAGGGTACTGTTAATGCTACAACATACAAAGACATATATAGACAATTGGGCTCTTCCAAACTTGCGGTAATGGTTTGGTGAAGGCCCTTGGGGAAAGTTCCGGTATGACTGTCCAGCTCCATAAAGACATGGATTGATGGGTTTGATGTGGAAGAACTTGAGTGTCCTGCACAGAACCCTGACCTCAACCCTACAGAAAACTCATTTGGGATGAACTGGAATGCTGATTGCAAGCCAGGTCTTCTCGTCCAACATCAGTACCTGACCCAATGAACACCAATTCCCACAGACACACCGGGAAATCTTTTGCAATGCCTACTCAGAAGAGTGCAAGCTGCTATTGCCGCAAGGGGGGACAACTCTATACATAGGAGAACTATGAGGTGAATGATAATCACTCATCCTCCATAGTTCGAGCTGACATGTGACAATGAGACTGTCACACGTCGGCTCAATAGATCGGGAGGTGAGCAAACATATACCGTCGCTCGCTCACTTCTCTATCATCTCCCTGCAGAGAGCCACGAGTGTCAGTCACGGCTCCCTGCGGGTTTTCCCCCCTCCCCGCTCCGATCCTCCAGCACTGACTGGAGGAATGGACGGGGGAGGGGGCGGGTACAGCTCGCTCTGCCTTTAGATAGGCAGAGCCCGCTGTCACTCACACAGCTGGGTGGGTCTCGACAGTAATGTCAGGATCCGTCCTGGCTGCGGCGGTCTCAGTATACCGCGAGCTGTAGCTCGCGATTTACTGAGCTTTGGAACCAGCGAAAAACTTACTTGCAAACTCCAATACGAAATCCAGTCAATTTCTTTATTGAATAAAGTGGTGTTTTCTGTTTGCCTGATGAAGGGACCTCTGGGTTCCGAAATGTCGCATGGAGATGTTACACCACTTTAGTCAATAAAGAAATTGACTTGATTTCATTTTGGAGTGCGAGTGACTTTTTCACTGGTTTCATGTTATCTGGAGAGGCATCTGCTATCGCTACAGCACCCACCCTGTATTCTGGCTTTTCCTCCGGTTAGGAGTGGAATGGGACTCATTGAATTTTGAATACTGAGCTTTGGGTCACTGGAGGATGCTAGTTTATGTCCTTCCGTGACCCTTAAGAGAACTATGGAGAAAAACACTTACCCCATAGTTCTCTTTTAATGCCAATGCTTTTGCAATGGGATATCCAACAAGCTTATATATACAGGTGAAACTCGAATAATTAGAATATCGTGCAAAGTTCATTTATTTCACTAATGCAACTTAAAAGGTGAAACTAATATATGAGATAGACTCATTACATGCAAAGCAAGATAGTTCACGCCGTGATTTGTCATCATTGTGATGATTATGGCTTACAGCTCATGGAAACCCCAAGAACCCCAAATCCACAATCTCAAAAAAGTAGATTATTACATGCAATCAATAAAACAAGGATTGTACATAGAACAATATCGGACCTCTGAAAAGTACAAGCATGCATATGTACTCAGTACTTGGTTTGGGCCCCTTTTGCAGCACTTACTGCCATTACTTTTGCACGATATTCTAATTATTTGAGTTTCACCTATAAGTGTAATGGTCTGGTGTCCACAAACTTTTGGCCGTATTATGTATTTTTAAGTGGCTCTGGATACATGAGATGTAGGTTTCATCTCCCAGCACCACTAACAGTCATTGATATTGGGTTCTGTTTTCACTGTGAGCATGCTACTTTTCTGTCCATTGCATAGACGGCAGCAGAATGGGACACATTCCTGGATAGTAGAAGATATGGCAGGGAGACCTAGTCAGGGACCTATAGTAAGGCAGTGATTTAACCCCCCAGTGTCCACCCATAAAAAAAATTTGCATCTGGACTAGACTGACCCTTCCAATAGACTTTCTTGCAGTGGACTTACATAGGAAAAGGCAACAAATGAACTTCTATGGAGCTCCTGCAGCTGCACCTACTCACATTCTTTTCATTTCCCTAGTCCTGTGTGAATACAGCCCAGTGTGCGTCACGATAGTGCAGTGCAAGCTAAGAATAAAAGTGGTGAAGAGGGTCTGAATGTGGGGACGTAAAACCGCTTTTCTAGTGGACTGCTATTTCCCCTTTGCCGTTTATAGACGTCATTGGAGAAAGCACCGCTGGGCCAAAAAACATGCATAAAATACATCAAATCCACATATCATCTCATGAGAAGGGAATGGATGGTCTACTGACAGGTTCTCTTTACAGGTGTTTTCCATTCACATAGGGAAGTGTTAAATCCCTAACTTCCCCCAGTTGCTGACCTGCTGTAATCTGCAAAATGCCAGATATGTGTGTCCCTTCACCACAAAATCAGCCTCGGTGAGGCACCCCAGAAATGGACTTCTCTCACCGCATCCCAGCGGGATTGATCATCCTTGCGGCTGTTTTTTCGAAAAACAGAGTGAGGATTCTGGGGGGGGAGGGGGCATGCTGAAGGGTAACGTCAGCCATTGCCATTCCTACCAACGGTGTGCTTTCATGTTTGAACAGGTTCACAGAGAAGAACAGCAAAGGAACCGGAAGCGGGTCGCAGAGATCAACATGTACATTGATTACCTGCGGGACGAGCTTGACAACCTTGATGTCCATGAACAGATATGACTGTCCCGTGTCTGAACGCAGCTGAGACTTTCAATATGCTTACATGGCTGTCCACAGCACCATCTATTGTCTGCCATGCCAGGCTGCATCATGTCTCCCGTAGACACTCCTACCCAGGCCCATGGGTCTCACAAGTTTGGACACACTCCTGGTGCACTACTTCCCTCTGCCAACCCAACCAACCCCTTCCCTTAACCCTTTCTTCCCCTGTGCCCCTACCTTTGTCCCATACCTATCTCCTTCCCCCCGCCATCTTCTATCCTTCCTCCTCTTCTACCCCCCCCCAATCTTCTATCCTTCCTCTTCTTCTACCCCCCCCCAATCTTCTATCCTTCCTCTTCTTCTACCCCCCCCCAATCTTCTATCCTTCCTCTTCTTCTACCCCCCCCCAATCTTCTATCCTTCCTCTTCTTCTACCCCCCCCCAATCTTCTATCCTTCCTCTTCTTCTACCCCCCCCCAATCTTCTATCCTTCCTCTTCTTCTACCCCCCCCCAATCTTCTATCCTTCCTCTTCTTCTACCCCCCCCCAATCTTCTATCCTTCCTCTTCTTCTACCCCCCCCCAATCTTCTATCCTTCCTCTTCTTCTACCCCCCCCCAATCTTCTATCCTTCCTCTTCTTCTACCCCCCCCCAATCTTCTATCCTTCCTCTTCTTCTACCCCCCCCCAATCTTCTATCCTTCCTCTTCTTCTACCCCCCCCCAATCTTCTATCCTTCCTCTTCTTCTACCCCCCCCCAATCTTCTATCCTTCCTCTTCTTCTACCCCCCCCCTCTTCTATCCTTCCTCTTCTTCTCCCTCATTGCGCTATTGGTCTACCAGACTATCCCACACCAGCAATAGTTGACCCTGATTCTTCTACATCCCGTCACCATCTTTACATGCCATACAAAAGACAATATCAGACATGTCGGGTGCAAAACATTTCACTTTATTGTTACAATTCAGTACACTGAAGAGGCTAGGTTCACACCTAGGCGATTCAGATGCCGAGCTGTCTTCGCGCGTTTATGATTGTGCGACTGTTCATTTAAAACGGTGTGGTTGTCGCACGGTTTTCAATGTATAGAGATGTGTATGGGACCCAAACCGCGCGACAACAGCCCCGAAAATAGATCCTGTACCTCTTTGACAGACAGACGATTTCGTCCATGCGACAAACCGCAAAGGTGTGAACAGCCTCCATTGACTTCAATGCAAATCTGTGTTTTGTGCAATATCGCGCAACAAATCGTCTAGGTGAGCACCGGCCCTAATTCTTCCAATTACAGACGTGAAGAACGAGTGTGGAAATGATAGAACATGAACTTTACATGTTGGTAATATTGTATTGATTTCTGATGAATGATGTTCTGTTCTGCCTGAGGCAGTGTTGATCAGTTAGACCAGGGGTAGCCAAACTTCGGCCCTCCAGCTGTGGTAGAACTACAAATCCCATGAGGCATTGCAAGATTCTCACAGCCACAGGCATGACTCCAGGAGAGAGATGCATCATGGGATTTGTAGTTTCACCCCCAGCTGGAGGGCCGGCGTTTGGCTACCCCTGAGTTAGAAACTTCATATGTGACACCTTAGTTTAAGTGTCTGATTAAATATCTGCTGTCCTTGGAGCTGAAGTGATTGATTATTTTGTTGTGATTTATATGCCTAAAGCGCAGCAAAACCCAAAAACAAACATGTCCTATACTGCAGCTCACCTGTCCTTAGGTGTGGCGGCTGCATTAGTTTTCTTCTTTTTTTTTTTTTTTACCTGGTGATCCTTCCAGTAACACACTTCCTGTCCTAGGGTGACAGCACTCATTTACCGTACATTATCAAGATGACAAAAACAGTATAGGACTGTGGAACCCCTCCCCTCTACTATTCCTCATACCATGGTGGTGGTGGGGGTGTTTCATAGTCCTCAGAGACTAGCTGAAAACAATGTAACTGATAACAGTCAACTGGTGCAGAGAGCACAGAAAGTCATCAGCTCACAAAAATTCCAGCAAGATTTACAGGTATTATTTTTAACGTATACATTTTTTTAAATGTATCAATTAAATATAACAAATCATTTTAAATGGTGTATTTAACAAACTAAAAAGGGGCCAAATATGACATTTCTGTTTTCTGGGTTTAGGAAAAAGGAAAAGTCTTTCAATAACTCATCTCATTGCTTTTCAAGCTTTTTTTATTTAATGTCATTAAAAATGATCTTTCCATTTCAGCCTGCCGCTATTATTCATTTTTTTTTTAAAACTTCCAAAAATAAATTCCCAGTGGGGTCACACACAGAAATAAGACACTGGATTTTGACGTTTCCCCATGTTATCCAAGACTTTAAAAAAAAAAAAAGTCAATCCTGTATAATAATAATAATAATTTAAAAAATGAAAAAAAGCTGATTGGTTGCCACGGCAACTGCTCCAGCTACTGTCTGCTATTCCCCCCAGTGTACACTAGAGGGCGCCCATCCATTCCATATACACACGGCGGATGGAGAGTCTCATTACTGTATAGTAGTGTATTGGTTCCGTTGTGCGGATTGTGTCCACTAGATGGCAGCGGTGCTCTGCGGTGCTTTGTTTTGTTAATTTACAAGGCGCTCTTTCCTTTTTTTTTTTTGTTTGTTTGCTTGTTTCCTTAACTTTATTGGCAGCGTACAAAGTGTTCATGGCTCCGCACCGCAGAGCTTTGCATTGCGCTGCGGTGATCTCCGGTATCCGGTATGTCTGCATTTTACCACAACGCACATCTCACCCGCATTGTACGTGGGGAGGACCCACAAAACCATTGTCTTCTATGTGCCTCCAGTGCGGATCAGGAATTTATTTGTGAACTGACAGGTCCACTTTGTACCATGGTTTGAGTTCGGCTTTACACACTTATGGAGAGTTGCGGGTGGTTGTCATTAGTAACACAGACCGTTCTTCTTTCAGGCACATTGAGGGGAATCTGTCTAAATTGGGCCAGGCAGAATGTGTGTTACCCATAGCAACCAATCAGCTCCTATCTTTCATTTTCACAGTCACGGAGTCACCTGCATACAGTCCATAGACTCCGGCCCTCCAGCTGTTGTGGAACTACAAGTCCCATGAGGCATTGCAAGACTGACAACTACAGGCATGACTCGCAGAGGCATGCTGGGATTTGTAGTTAAATCACAGCTGGAGTTGCCCACCCCTTGGTCTATGGTGTACCAGTACAGCTGCAGGAGAGGCTATCACCATAAACAATCCTGGGAATTCTTACAGTGATAATATTGGGGACTGTTATAGAAATGTTATTGCGTCTCCACCGCGGAGCTTGTGGCAGAGGTGCTTCCCTGTCCATTAAAGGGCCGGCGGCGATATGTCAGACTGGTTTCCATTTCTCCTGACCAGAGCGCATTCTTTCCGTAGGTCACGTCAGCTTTGTGCCCCCCGTGATGCCAACTTTGTGATGCTTTCACATCTCCAACCTACGGAGCGAGAGAAGGCAACCTCGGCACTCCGGCTGTGGTGAAACTACAAATGCCACCATGTCCTCTGCCTCTGGGAGTCATGCCTTCTGCTGTCAGTCTTCCAGTGCCTCATGGGAGTTGTAGTTCCTCCACAGCTGGAGGGCCGAGGTTGCCTATCCCGAATCATACCGGTAACATCAATGGAGATCATCTACTCCAGCGCTGGTCCTTCCAACCACTTGGTTTGATGACATTCACCATCCTCATCGGACTTCCCCATACGCCATCCAATACTCCTCAGCGTCAACACTTCTGTAGGCGGAGCTATGTCAGGGGAAGATCTCATTTTGGGAATTCTGTGACCGGTGGTTGAACACATACGGAGAACAGGAAGTGTTCAATGATGGTGACTAGGGATGCACCGATTTCGATACTAGTATTGGTGCCGATACTGAGTATTTGGGCGAGTACCGTGTTTCCCCGAAAATAAGACACTGTCTTATATTTTTTTGGGCTCAAAAAAACACACTAGGTCTTATTTTCGGGGTAGGTCTTATTTTCAGGGAAACAGGGTACTAGTACTCGCCCAAATGCTCCTGATACCTATCCCGATGCCTAACCCGAACTTCCGGTATCAGGTAGCCGGGCAGTGCGTCATTACACAATGCCCGGCTTCCTTATTGGCCTCGAAGCCGGTTCCATGCTCCCTCGTCAATCAGGAAGCCGGGTGGTGTGTAAAGACTCACTGCTCGGCTTCCCGATTAGCCGTCTCCATACTCCCTCATCACCAGGTGAGGAGGAAGCATGGAGCCGGCTTCCCAGCCAATCAGGAAGCCGGGCGCTATGTAATGATTCTCTGCTCGGCTTTCTGACTAGTCGGGAATCTGGCCAATGAGGAAGCCGGATGGCAAGTCATTACATGGCGCCCCCCCCTTGCTTCCTGTTTGGCTAGAAAGCTGGCTCCATGCTTCCCGTCTTCCTGATTGGCTCCATGCTTTCTCATCCCCTGGTGACGAGGGAGCATGGAGATGGATTCCTGGCAAATCAGGAAGCCGAGCATCGGGTCATTACACGCCGCCCGGCTTCCATAATGGGACTTCCGGTATTGGTATTCGGTGCCGGAAAAAAATACTTGTACACGATACCGAAAAACCGGTATCATTGCGTCCCTAATGATGATTCTTCACATGCCAGTTGCAATTTCCAACCCGGGGCCACAATGCCGTATTTCTGATTTGAAAGTGTAAAGCCAAAAGTTAATGTTTAAAAATGTTTTGTATAGAGCAGAGAAGAGGAAGCAAACCCAAATCGGGTTCTTAGCTTTGTACCACCGGGAAAGACTTCACTTCCTGTCCTGGACAACAGGAAATTAGAGGATATATCTACGTACGCCCAACTTAGAGAGTTGTCACTGGAGGAGGTGTCCACGTGGGAGGAGCTCCGCTCACTTCTTGCTTTGGGGACAACTCAACATTTTTGGGTTTCCCATCACTTTCTGTCTGGCGAGTCACCGTGACAACCAGAGGGGCCATATCACACAGACAGACGAAATGAGCTGACAGAAGGGTGAACCTTTTCCACGTGCCGTCCGGCCGATGGTAATTAA